CCGCGCTTCCCAAGCGGCGCACTATCCAGTGCGCCACCGGGCCGGCCCAAAACAGAGATAGATTTTGAAGACTCATTGAAATACAAATCTGGTTGTGTTATTACATCTTGTTTTCGAAACATGTTCTTAGAAGGAGCATTTAAATATGAAACAAGTGCCTATATGCTGACTTCTGAGGTTTTCAGGCTGTGTATTTAGTCATCTTTAAGTGTATAGACTTCTTGGGCTGGCCAGTTAGCTCAGTTGGTTATGCTGTGGTCCTGATAAAACCAAGGTCCAGGGTTTGATCCCTGTACCAACCAGCCACAAAAAATATATATGTATACATAGACTTCCCTGCAGCTTAGATAGTTTTGGATAATAATCGTGCCCGAACTTTTTTTTCCCAAATAAAACTAACTTGGCTAGCTCAGTAAATACAGACTTTTTTTTGTCCTTTGCTCAATTAATCTTTGTTTGTCTCTCTATGATATGTTGAAAAGGAGATATGCGCAGACCAAACTGAAGAATAAGATTTCTGAGACTTGGCCAACATAATTATACAGCTCTTCATTGTTGTTGTTGTTGTTTTCCCAGCCTTCACCCTGGAGATCTCTATCCTTTCACTAGGAAGCCCCTGTTTATCATTGTGGATTCATCCAACAGTGTGGCGTACAAGGTGAGTTTCAGGAGAGCTAATGCACACGTTAGATGTTATGGCACCGACCCGAAGTACCCACTCTTAACGTGTGCTTTTTTATTTTGCTTTATTTTATTTAATTTTACACAATTTGTATTTAGTGTTTCTTTTCTTTTGAGGTTGTGCATGCTAGTCAGAATCTGGTGCTATGAATAGAAACAAGAAGAAAACGCATGAATGGACACTCAGTGGAAAATAATAAATCCTCCTGCAGGAAAAAAAAAATTCAAGATTTCCAAGATCTCTGGTGGGAGGTTTATTTTTGTTATATAACCCAGAATAATTTTCTTTTATAGAGGGAAATGTATATGGGTGGACTTTGTTTTCTAGTTTTTAAACTTTTTTCCCTTTTAAACACTGAGCTGCTGTAGTTTAAGTGAAACTTCTATTCCATTGTTAGAGTCATAGTCTTTGAATATTAACATATTGTTTTGTATGCACTTTTTTTTTTTTTTTAATTTGTGACTATCAGGAAAAAAAAAAGGAAAAGGAAAGATGCCCTGAATGCTGAAACAAGTCACAGGGATATAACTTGAATATCTTTTACTTTATATTTTACAATGGAAGTTATGATTTTCAGTGATTCTGAAGAGAATGCCAGCAGCAAACACGTTAAAGTTGGATATTAGATATTCAAACTGTAGTAATTTATAGGAAAATGAAAACCCTACCTTTTCACTGGTTGGAATGTTTCATTAGTGAAAAATAAGTTAAGAAATATGCTGGGTGCACAGACCTGCCACTTAAAGCTATTTCTGTTGTGGCTGTTCATAGTTCAAATGCAATTAGTTGGAGAAGCAAACATTAGTATTGTATTTCAGGAGAACAATGGAAATGTCTGGTAACAAAGAGAACTGACCCCAAATGTTTTCCATTTTGTTTGCATGTTAGTTTCACTTTTTAAAGTTAAACTCTAAATTCCAAGAGCACTCAACCCACCCTAAAATTTTCAGCATATTTCCTGCTACCCATTTTGTCAAGTTTAATACTACAACTTTTGATTTTTAGGAAAGTTATAGCTGTATACTTTCCCAAATTGTGTGTGTGTGTTGTTGTTGTAGGGGTGGCGACAGGACAAGAAAAAGTTTTATTGGCTATCTCATTTAAACTTATAAAACCAGAAGGATCCAGGCATTTTGTGTCTTCACAAAATTCAAAAGAAGCATTCCATGTCTTTGCTACAATTTGATGATGTGACAGAATGTGTTGATACACCAGGTCAAGTGTATTGTTTAACATGATCTAGCATGCATTTAAAGTATTTTATCAGTCTATTAATTTCTCCCAATTGCACTTTGTTGGATACCACCTTTTACAATTTCAAGAATATTATTCATTGTATGAGTATGTCCCTGCTATTTCCAGAGCATTGTTTGGATGTAGAATGAATATTGGATGTTCATTTTAAAAACACCATTGTGCATAGTTAGGAATGTATTTACTCAATTATGCATCATAATTTAATTCTAGATTTAAACATTCCGATGCTCAGGACAACTGTGGAATAATAGAAAGGGTTTTTTTGTTTGTTTACTGTTGATGGCACATGCAGTATCACTCCCCCAGATAATTAAATTGTCTGGAACATAGTGATCTTTAGAAATAAAATGGGGATCCTGTATGCAGTAGGCAAATCATGTCATGGCATAGATGAATTTCATCTTTATAAAAATTAGTATTACTTAATGCATCTAATTCAAGTATGCAGTTCTCTTTGGTAACATATGAAGATGTCTGATAATTACTTTTATCACAAAAGCATGTGTAGAGAAGCTTTAAACTACCATTTTGCAGGTTTCTGGTGAAAAAGGAGAACTGGGTGACTTTTATTTCTTGAGTATTTTTGAGTACCTACTTTTCTGTACATCTTTCATATGCATGAATGTTTTAGGAACATATCCAAGGGTACTTCAAAAAACTCATGGAAAAATAGAATTAAAAGATAATACAAATCTTTTCATGAACTTTTTGAGGTACCCTCATACAGGTTTCCTAAATGTTTCTTCATTTAAACACAAATGTTTCATGTGTATTTCTTCATATAAATATTACTTTTTTATTTTTATGAAAGTAACTCATTCATACAGTGTAAAGCTGTAGTTTCAACTCTTTCTGTGTGTCAGAAACATCCAGAGCTCTTTCAAAACCACTTGTTCATAGGTCCCATCTCCTGTGATTATTTCACTTCACCTGGGATGAGTCTCAACTATCAGTACTTTTTAAAGACTAATTCCAGTGTGCTGTTGGGGTGAGAAGTACTCACTCTAAAAGTTCCTCCAGGTTTGTTACTAAAAATAGCAGTCTCCTGTTCTCTTGTCCTACCCGTGTTTGCATCTTCCCAGAGGCTACCAGTTACATCTTTTTTAGCTGGGTATTTTGGTATTTAACTACTATTTTTCTGAATAACATGCTGGTATCGATAGTTGTTGACTCTTCCGTTTTTGGCATTATGTATTGAATTCCCACTTTGAAAGAGGAAGCTTAGCTCTCTCCTCTTCCTATTCTCAGTGCATATTTCTACCCTTTACATCCTTTTATCCACATGGTAGATAATTGTGGTAAATAATTTTGTCCGCATAATTTTGATTAGCTGAATGTTTCGTGCTTATGTTATTATGACTATAAATACTTTTAACAACTAAGACAACGTAATACACTTTGATTACTTTTCCTTTCCTATGCAACGTTTTACTTTTCCTGGAACAAATAATTGTCTTTCTTATCTTTTTCTGAGCTTATCACTAATTCAACCCCAATCACCTCACTAATTGTCTAAATCGTTGTTCAGGTTGTTCAGATGGGTCAGCTAGTCTCTTCGTCTTTCTAATGCATTGTCTCCCAGAGCCTCTGAACTGGTACCCTCTGTACATGCAGCACAGACTCATCCAGAACCTCT